AGCCACTATGACTAAAATGGAACATAGGGGTAAAATGCATTTTTTTGCTTTTGAAGAAAATATGACAGATACAAAGAACATTTAAATGGCATTTTTAAGCCCCTCATTAATATATATTGAAAAGCAAAAATAATCATTGATGAAAGATTTAAGCAAAAAAAATTTAGGTGAGCGATTCAGGCTCTTGAGAGCCTCTTGTATAAATTGGCCTAGAATTTTTTTTTGAAAAGACTTTCCCATACTAAGGCCACCCTGAACAAATTCTTTGTTTGATGTTGCCTATACCCATGGGTTGTAGGGATTGGTCAGTAAGGTAGGGATTTTTTGATATTTTTTGCTAACAACATATGTTACATGTTTGAGACAAGAAAAGACGTAAGAGCACGGAAAAAAAGTTAGAAAAAAAAATTGAAACGATTTGTGTCATAAAGTTTTTCAGGTAGCCTGTTATAATGTGCTATTTAGGCCAGGGTACTAGGCAACATCAAACAATCTAAATTTTATTTTGACCCAAACATATGATAGATACAGTTTTGTCTTTGCTCTGTTGGACAAGGGAAAGAACAAAGTGTGTTTACAATTCAACTCCAATTGTTGATTTTAATTTGGACGTAAAAAATAAGTCTCCCTTTCAAGAATAAAATCTCAGGCCACTTTCTGCAGTAGATGATATAGCGGGTAATAAAGTTACAAAACAGATAGATATGTGTTATCTCATTTTGTAGTTGTCTAAGCATTTGGACACTTATAAATTTTTGTCTTCTAAATTTTTGTCTTGGCAGATACTTCTCATTAGCAATTGGAATTGGCATAATGAGGCACCAATTTGAATTGTTTTAGAACAATTGATGATATTTTTGCACAGGCACTTGTTTCTGATTTTTTTCCACCTTTTATACCTTAATATAACATATAAATGTTAACATATTAAAGTACATATGAAAAAAAAAATAATAAATTCAGAGACATAATGCCTGTGTATTTTTGTATTGGAGAACAGTATACACTATACATGTTTTAGGCCAATTTTCATGCAGCTGGTCAGATCAAATGAGAGTTTGATCAACAGATAATTAAACAAATTTCAGGTATTGGAATCAATATTGTTCAGGTGATGTTCAGGTGATGTGGCTTCATTCAGATGACTTGAGATTAGATTTACTAAAAACTCATTAAAGATATATAGATAAGATAACTAATATCAAGGATACCAGGTTAAAAATTTTCTACTCCAGACACACGTTTCCTCTAAAATAAAAGTGACGCTAAGTGAACCATAAAAGGTAAAAGGCCAAATATTATAGAATTGAAGAGCATTAAGGATTCCAAAAAATCTGAAAGGTTTTACCATTAAACTCAGCTAAGATAATCTATTCCTTGGTTACACAATCCTTAGTTAGTTCAAACAATTTAAAGGTTTGTAATCAGTTAATTTATGAATATGACAATATCAATGATAATTCATGTCATCACAGAATTGCTGACTTAACTGGACTATATAATTTGTTATGCCAAACACTAATGTGCCATCGTCATAAGACTCTGATCAGTGGCGCAGTGAGTGAGTCAAATCCAAAGTTGGAAGGACAAAATCAAACACCAAGTTGTAGAGAAATTTTGTTTGAAAGCCTGATTTCTTTTTATACTGCCCTTTACAACATTGAAAATATATTAAAGTAGACTTGACCATGTTGAAGAAAATTGGCTTTCACAAGTTTGGTTTATGATGTAACTGAAGTTTCATAGTAATTTGTGTAACTTTCTTTAAAAAATTAATATTGAATATTATTTATTAAAAATTAATATTGAATATTATTTGTTAACTAAATTACAAACTGGAAAAATGATAACTAGAAGAAACTAACCATACAGAAAAATTTAGAAAGGGGTCTCTGAGTACTGAAAGTGACTTATCATTGACTGGTGGAAATGTGTGCGTAATACGTGAGTAATGGTAAAGTTTTGAAATTTTGTTACTTTTTCTAAAAAGACAAATGTAATATTAATTATTACATAATTTATGTTTGAATAGGTTTATATATAGTTTGCCGCCCTCTTTCAGGTCAATCATTTCCTGTCTTAGAAAAGGCGCATTAAACAAAATATCTGTGATACGATGAAGATTCGTAGAGACAAAACGATTGTAAATGTTTGTTTAATTAAAGGATATAGTTGCTAAAGTGTATGTAGTTTTAATTTTCCCCATCCTTCTAGCAGATGTTACCTTGTAATGCTTCATTATACTTAGTCTGAAATGTTATAGACAAAGTTAAAAATGTTTAATGGTAGAATAATTAAAGATAGTTAAAGAAAGTAATGGGTAAATTAAAATGTATAATAAGAAAGAAACACTTTTTGGTTGTTCAAAAGCAAACTGATGTGTTTAAAATTGTAGGCATTTTTTATAAATTTTTTTAAAAAGTTTTGGTTAACCATAAACCAACAAGTTTTACAGAGCCATTTATTTTTCGTGAGTAGAATTTTTTTAAACAAATATGAATATTTGTGAATAGGTCATACTTGGATCTTTTCTTTAACGATTACAATAAACAAGATCGTACAATTGTGAAAATGAATTGTCAAGAAGTTGGCTGTTACGGAATGAAGATGAAAATAAGTTTTCAGTATCTTGTAGCAAGAAAAAACTGGAAAAAGAAGCACATGATAAAACCATTTAATTGAATATAGATGATATATTTGTTACTGGACATCGAGCAATCACCAATCAATCAATCAAATCATAAATCATTTCATCTTTTCTCATACAATGAAACTTAGTGGTACCCAATGAAATTATTAAACCTTAAGAAAATAAGTATTTCCCAAAATGATAACCCTAGAAAACTCAGGTACCAGGTAAATTCTAACCTGAGGAAACCAACCACCTTTCAAAGAAAGCTGCTGGTTTCTGCCAACAAAAACTGGTACCTATTGGCACTACACAAAGTGATCCAAGCACAACAACTCTTGATAAAATTTTAATTGGTCAGATAGACCAATCACCATTAGAAGAAAATTTGTTAACACATAAATCGGTTTTACTGTAATATATTAGTATATAGTACCCCATATTATGTACTAGAGTAACATGCTAAGGGAAAAGAAAACTAGTTAAGATTTGCTTGATAATGTTTTACATTATATATAGATAATTGCCTTTTTTTTTGACAAATATGTAAGATTTTGCCATAATATCACTTGATTATTGCATAACTATGACATCAGAATATGATAGTAAAGCCATTTTTTCTTAAAACATTACATGTAACTACTTTTAAAAAGAATTACAATATATTAAAGAGATAGCGATATGTTAACATCATAAAAATGTGGCCGAATTTGGCGGCACACGTCATCCTTGGTCCTTTCTGTAGGACATTAACCTTGATTTGTTACTTGTAACATTGTAATAACAACCAATGAACATAAACAGCCTCTTGTTACTAAAGTCAAAAACTGAGTCAGATGTGTGTAAATCTGGTTTACTTTGAAAACGTACAGCTGTTGAAGGTTGTTTCAAAAGACTTATCGTTTTAATGACGTCAAACTGAACATCATTTCAGGTGTGTTTTCTCAGCAAAAAAACGTAGTAACTACATGAATAAACACCGATCTTTAACAGTGTTTAGTAAAATGACGCCAGGTGCTACTGTAAAAGATTGTTTGAAGTGGGATGTAAGAGGGTTGTTAATCATCGTTTTATACAATTATTCCAACAATTCAGTTAAAAGGTATCAAAGCTATTAAAGCATTTAATGTACACCTTGAAAATCTTGTTATAATGGTATAGATACACTACGGCTGAATGGAGTTAATGAAATATAAATAGTAAATTGAGTAGGGTACGAGGAACTGTTGCAATTTTTTTAAGCTAGCTGTTGTAAAAATATGTAAGCTAATAAGGCAGTAATTTAATATATACTAGGAAAATCTTTTTTAAGCTTGCTGTTGTAAATATATGAAAACTAATTAGGTAGTATTTAATGTATACGAGGGATTTTTTATGAAATTATTGGTATGGCGAGAGATGATGGATTTATCCACTAGAGAGACTTCTAACATGCAAGATCTGTTTTCATGATGCAATATTGTAAAAAACGTGTTGCAGTTTACAATTTCAAGGTTATTTCTCTATTTACGTTAATGTTATTAACATTGCTATATTAAATGTAAACCAATATGTTATAGATGATATAAGCTTAGATAGAGTGTGTGAAATTAATATAGTATCACGTATTATGTTCAAACACTGTTTTAATATTGTAAGATCTGTTGCAGGCTTTTAAATATCTCTTTATAAATTTCTGTTAATTGCATTATAGTCAATGAAATTCAATACGTAATCTTGTTTTGTATTGCTATTGATGAAATATGCATTGATAAAACCTGTGAAATAAATAGTTGAATATGAGAACTGTGTGTTAACACAATCTTGTAAAACCTGTAGCAGGTTTCAAATAGTGACGGGGGGGGTGTCTATTAGTAGATTATCTATAGTGATCACTAGCCTGTCAACACTGAGGTTATGAGAGCAAAGCCTGGGTTCTCAGCAGATATGTTAGACTCCAATCCTAATTCACAATGATTATTACCTCATGGAGTCTTTCATATTCCAAAGACAAAACAATATTTTTCTCTTTGTCCTAAAGGAACTAAGAAGTCTTCTAAACTGTGAGGCAGCATGGTTTTAAGTGCAAAATTGATAGGAAAGGGAGATAACTCAAAATTTTATAATAAAAAGCATAAGGAGCCTATAATTTTGGGAATAAAAATAATATTGGTGCAATTATTTTTCTCTATTCCTTACAATGTTTCATTCTGAAAATCAACTTTTTGAAGTCTATTTAATGAAAATGCTACAATTGTCGCCAGTGGGAAAAACTAATTGGATTGGACCTAGATATACGTCTAGAGAATTAGACCAACTGTGATGCTAGAGTGAATCTTAATTTTCCCTTCTCTCTAACTGGTACCAGAAGTCATTTCCCTCTCATTTCTCCAGCAACACCTCTCTAAATGGTACCAGAAGTCATACTTTCCCTCTCATTTCTCCAGCAACACCTCTCTAAATGGTACCAAAAGTCATACTTTCCCTCTCATTTCTCCAGCAACACCTCTCTAAATGGTACCAAAAGTCATACTTTCCCTCTCATTTCTCCAGCAACACCTCTAACTGTTACCAGAACCCATACTTTCCCTCTCATTTCTCCAGCAACACCATTCTCAATGGTACCAAAAGTCATACTTTCCCTCTCATTTCTCCAGCAACACCTCTCTAACTGGTACCACAACCCATACTTTCCCTCTCATTTCTCCAGCAACACCTCTAACTGGTACCAGAACCCATACTTTCCCTCTCATTTCTCCAGCAACACCTCTCTCAATGGTACCAAAAGTCATACTTTCCCTCTCATTTCTCCAGCAACACCTCTAACTGTTACCAGAACCCATACTTTCCCTCTCATTTCTCCAGCAACACCTCTCTCAATGGTACCAAAAGTCATACTTTCCCTCTCATTTCTCCAGCAACACCTCTAACTGTTACCAGAACCCATACTTTCCCTCTCATTTCTCCAGCAACACCTCTCTCAATGGTACCAAAAGTCATACTTTCCCTCTCATTTCTCCAGCAACATCTCACTAACAGGTACCAGAACCCATACTTTCCCTCCCATTTTTCCAGAAACACCTCTCTAACTGTTACCAGAACCTATACTATCCCTCTCATTTCTCCAGCAACACCTCTCTAACTGGTACCAGAACCTATACGTTCCCTCTCATTTCTCCAGCAACACCTCTCTAACTGGTACCAGAACCTATACTTTCCCTCACATTTCTCCAGCAACACCTCTCTAACTGGTACCATAACCCATACTTTCCCTCTCATTTCTCCAGCAACACCTTTTAGCATTATATTGTTTTCTGACTGATTCTTCTCATTATACTCATCTTTCATTTCAGGTAGTTTTCTTTTCTCTTTAGTATTGAATCAAGCAGAAAAATCACTATACATAAACTTAATGCTTACTTTTCATTATAAATCACTTTTTTAAGGTAACTGGGACAGACAGCAAGCCCAGAGTGATTCATGACTATTTGCGATCCCTAATTAGAAAGTTGTAGTCCTGTGATTGTTAAGGTCTTTCTGTTTGATATATCATTGGCTTGAATTATTTTTTTTATGTTTTTGCTTTTGGTTTATTGGTTTTTTTTACAGCTTTGTTTTCATCTTTTTATGCCCCCGCCGCTCTGCATCAGGGGCATTAAGTGTTACCTTTGTCCATCCGTCCTGAATGTCCTGAACGCCCAAAATTGGTTTCTGTTCTCTAACTTTAGTTTGCCACAACCAAATGTTATAAAACTTATACACAATGCTTATTACCAAAAAACACAGATCAAGTTCGAAATTGGGTGGTGTCACTTTTACCGTTCATGAGTTATGTCCCTTTATAAACATAAAAATTGCTGATTATTTTATTTCAGTTCTGTAACTTTAGTTTGCCTCAACCAAATGTTATGAAACTTCTACACAATGCTTATAATCACAAAAACAGTCTTAATAACGTGAATCCTGCATCTGTATGTGCAAGTTGACTCCTGCATATCTTAAAGCGTGGCATCTATGGCTCATAGACACATTCTCCATGTATTTGCATTTATTCTTCATACTGATTCTTTAAAATTGAATAAGTATTTTTAGATCCTATAGAATTTTTCAGTATAATTGACCTGCAATTTAACAAAATTTTATGCCCAATATTATACACAATCTGTGGCTAATGTTTCAAATATTGAGTTTAGATTTAAATGAAAGAGAATAAAGCAATGAAAAAAGAATATAAGCCATGACAATCTATATATAAATACCTAATAGATTAAATTTTACAGGATGTGTTCCCCATTTTAGTTATGATATGATATCTGAGCATAATAGATCATATTGAATATAAAAGATGGCAATTTTGTTTAAATATTTTTCAATATTTTTAAGTGAAAATGAATTTTAATGACAGAAGGAGCAATATTAGTGCAACTGTATGTAAGCTAGATGCGGCATAATTTAATATCAATAAAATTGTTTATATATATACCATATTTATCATAATATAAGCCAAGTTGACAAAGCGAGAATTAGTCTTTAATTGCTGCACAAGATTAGTTTTTACTATAGTCTTGCCAGGAAAATGGTGTTTGTGTTTACAAGACCATTCAAGTTCAGGTGAAAATCCAATGATTTGAACCTTGAAACAATAGAAAACGGTCTATAAAAAAATAGTCTATAAAATAAAACTTGAATTATATATCTATCTTTTGATTTGGTTATAATTGAAAATTATTGAAAATGAAAGCTGATGAAAATTTGGACAAGGGCTCATTTCTGGTTAATATACATGCAAATGAAAGGAAATGTAGGGTACACAATTGTCATCATTAAGACAGTAAACAATCAACATAGAAAAGTAAAAAATATGTCATATGTCAAACTCCAAATTGGTCCAAGAGTTGAATAATGGGAATAAAGTTACAGATTAAGTACAAAGACCTAAAAACACCAGAAAAAAGGACTAACAAAATACTAATGTCTAACTTACAAGAAAACCATTTACAAATTTCCTTGCTCTGGGTTTAGTTTGATAAATATCTACTGATATTATAATAAATACGATATTTTTTTTAAATAAAAATAAATGTTAAGTAGAGTAAGGCATGACCAAAATAGATTGCTGATTTAAAGATATAATACTGAATTGATTATGTGGATAGCTGTTTTAATATTGTATAACTTTATTGAATTTAGCAAAGCTTATTAAACCATTAAAATCTTTATTATAAAGTATAGGGGGAAAATGGGGATAAATATTTATGTAATATGACGAAGCCAATAAGTCTTCATAGTGTTTGTGATTACAAGATTTCCTGAAATCATAATAATCACTCTGACATTTTTTGGCCTTTGTTTAACAAAAGCAATAATAAATGGAAGCACAAATTTCTGCATTTACAGAACTTCATTAATTTGGGCACTTTTCATTTCTAAGTATTTATTAAAGTTGTATTCGACGTTATTTGCATTATTCAATACTCGACTACGCATAAATGGTGACCTGACTATTTTTTGAGGTAGACTCTATAGTTTGGATCTCTTTGAAGTTGATAAGTTCCACATTGCATTTCTCCATCATAAGCTTGTCAGAAGACACTTTATTGTTTCAATTTTGAAAAAAGAAAGACCAAGGATTGATTATATTAGTTTCATTTGGTCTTAATTCATAAGTCTGCAAAGTAAGTTTGTATTGTCACCTATTTTATCTAAGGAGCTCAAAGATTTTTTTAATTTTTCATGGCAAAATCACTAAAGTTCATCAATATGGTAACTTTCATTGTTGTTTTTATATTCACCAAAAAAAAAAGGTTGCACCACATTATGCATGATATCCTTGGTGTTTAATTTTGAAACGACGACCACGAGGGGTGTCTTTAAAGACCTTGAACGGTTGTTTATTTTGAAACAGTCCTTAAATTAAGTCATAGTCTCTTTATAACATGATATAGCTATGTCCAAGATATCCATATTATCATCTGTTTGAAAATAAATTTTACATGAATGATGTCAATATGGCCAAAAATAACACATAACCATTTAATAGTATATGGGATTTTGTTGGTTCAGTGTACAATGGGGGATAACTCTGTTTAATTTTTTAACAATACTTTCTGCTTGCTAAGTTAAACATCTTGCATTGGTTTTTGTCTTAATTAATATACATAGGTATTTGATTCTTTGGATTTTTCTACCCTCCTTATTTTATTAACTAATCAGTTGCAGAATATCTTGACAAGACCGGTTTTGGAGAGCTTTTGTGCCAATTAATAATGATAAAGTGTTTCAAAAATCATTTAAAATATTGGAGATAGAAATGATTTGTGTTTAAGAGATAGCATTTATTTGAAAGTTTTAAGTTTAATGGGCCACACAAGTGTAATACTTATGTTCAATAATGAGGTTTTGCACCTATTTATATTATTTTTTATAGGGCCATCATAAAAGTCTTGTTAACTTAACTGACTTGATTACAGATCTGACTTTAAAATACTGGTTGGATTTTGTGATAACAGTACATTACACAACATAAAAGCAGATTAATATCATAATAATGTGTATTTATGTTCGCTGAATATTGATATTTATTGATATTCAAACGTGTAGATATTGAATAAATGTAAACAATAGCTCTAAGCTGCTAGAGTTACTCCCCCTTCTATTGTAATAACTTTTCTTCAGTCCCAATGGCCGGGGCATTAATCCATAACTTCTTTAGTTCTAATAATACATTATATATTATACATTACTTGTACATGTAGTTAGAAAATAGTGGATATGTCCAATTATTTGGATTTCTTTCTTGAGATCATAGAAAATGCAGTAATATATTCAAAGAATTCCTGTATTCTTAAATTTTAGAGTTCAGAAGTTGAACTTAGAATTAGAAGAGAAGTAACATGACAGGTCTTTTCCATAATGCTTTTCAAATTATTCAGGGGCCTCGGTGGCCGAGTGGTCTTAGTAGTTACTACTGTAATCACTAGCCAGTCAACACTGAGGTTGTGAGTTCGAACCCCGCTCGTGCGGGTGCACTTGACTCCAATCTTAATTGACTAGGATTGTCAGTTTTCCTATCGATGGTCGGTGGTTTTCTCCGGGCACTCCGGCTTCCTCCACCAATAAAACTGGCCGCCACGAAAATAGCCCAAAAGCGGGGCTTAAAAGTGGCGTTAAAACACAAAAAAAAAAAAAAAAAAAAAAAAAATCAAATTATTCATAAGAACAAAATTCAAACAACATCCTCTTTAAAAATTCGCACTTAATTTTTTGTGTATTTTAAAATTTTTGTTAAAGAGCTTGTGTCTGAAAATGATGAAGGTAGATATGGTGATATGTTCAGATCTCTTCATAGTGGCAGTCAGTTTTTATTGGTGGAGAAAGACAGAGTACCCAGAGAAAACCTTAAATGACCTCTGGCAGGAAAATTTATAATGATAATCCCAACCAATAAAGATTGGAGTCATACACACCTGCCACGTGTGTGGTTGTCAGTTTTTATTGGTGGAGGAAGCCACTGGGTGCCCAGAGAATACCTTAACCCACCTTTGGCAGGAAAATTGATAATGATAATCCTAGTCAATAAAGATTGGAGTCATCGACACACCTGCCACGTGTGGGGTTCAAACTCACAACCTCAATGTTGACAGGCTAGTGATTACAGTAGATGAACTTGTTAGACCACTCTGCCACCAAGGTCCCCTCTAGATAGATTAGACCACTCAGGCACCAAGGTCCCCTCTAGATAGATTAGACCACTCAGCCACCAAGGTCCCCTCTAGATAGATTATTCTATAATCAAAAATCTTCTTCAAATGACGGGGCCTCGGTGGCCGAGTGGTTTAAGTAGCTACTACTGTAATCACTAGCCAGTCAACACTGAGGTTGTGTGTTCGAACCCCGCTCGTGCGGGTGCACTCGACCAATCTTAATTGACTAGGATTGTCAGTTTTTGTCGAGCCTGCGACTTTTGTCGCAGAAAGCTCGAAATAGGGATAATGATCGATCCGGCGGCGGCGGCGGGGGCGGCGTTAGCTAACTTCTTAAAAACTTTATATTTTAGAAGGTGGAAGACCTGGATGCTTCATACTTTGTATATAGATGCCTCATGTTACGAAGTTTCTGTCAGTCACATGTCCAATGTCCTTGACCTCATTTTCATGGTTCAGTGACTACTTGAAAAAAAAGTTCAGATTTTTTGGAATGTTAAATTCTCTCTAATTATAAGTAATAGGATAACTATATTTGGTATGTGCGTACCTTGCAAGGTCCTCATGCCCGTCAGACAGTTTTCACTTGACCTCGACCTCATTTCATGGATCAGTGAACAAGGTTAAGTTTTCGTGGTCAAGTCCATATCTGAGATACTATAAGCAATAGGTCTACTATATTTGGTGTATGTATGTAATGATAGTAAGGTGTACATGTCCAACTGGCAGGTGTCATCTGA